AACATAAGCTTTATTTATAATATCAAAAAATTGTTAACAATGGAATATCCTTTGTCTAGTGAGTGGATCTACATATCGTGGTATAGTCAAACCATAAAAATACCTACAGGGAAATAAAAGTCAGTGAGTGGTATGTGTAGTAATGTGGATGGATCGCAAGGGCATTGAGCCAAATGGAAAATGCCAGTGTCCAATGATCATGTATTGTGTAATAAGTTTAAAAATGTGTTAGCAAGATGTGGGCTGCAGACTGGGCCTACTCATAACTCCCTTCTAATCTGGGAATTAAATTTATTTGCATTTTTAGAGCAATGCATTAAAATTAAAAATATAATCCTTCAAATCTATCATCAACCCATCATCACCTACAGAATGTCCCTAAATGCTACACAGAACGACATGAACAAGAGGGGATCACCCACAGTTAACGCAGATGCGCCTGGAGTAAGAATGCCCAGAAACAAGACAAACACACTGAAGGGCAGATTCCCAGGCAGCTCTGGAAGCACCCCCAAAACAGAGAACATGATCCCCCGTTTTTGTGCAGCAACCAATGAGGAACAAATTTCTGACTGAGGGGACACAGACAGGACAGCGGCTCAAGAGGGTTCTCGCCCAGTCATAAACCTCACCGAATCAAATCTTGTTTTAAACTAGTCTTACAGAACCACAATTATCCCATTCAGACAAACTCAGCCACCCAGAGTAGATTATTAAATAGTCGTGGCTGGGGAAGAACAGCTTAATTCTGTGTATCCCACTGACACCCAGATCTCACTTCTGCCCAGACAGGCAACGATGAGAGCTAAGAGTGGGAGCCACAGAGGCATTTCCCAGCATTCCGTACTGTAAGGCTTCGGAAGAGAAGGTGCTAGGTTGTTTTCTGCGCTTCACCCCACCCCTAGACAGGCCTCCTCAGTCCTGGAATTAGCAAGCTGTGCCTCCCTGTGGCATCTACAAACTACAGTACAGCAGACACAGCTAGATCAGGTAAGAGAGAAAGGACAAGCTGAAAGTGAGTTCGATCTGAACAGTTAGAGAGGAAAGAGTCATAGGGGTCCCGAGAGTAAATAAGCAAGATCCTGAGATTAAGGAAAAGTCATTCTGCAACCTGACAGATGGCTCAGAAATTAAGAACTTATACTGCGCATGCAACTAAAAACTGCCTTTGCCTCCAACTCCAAGAGATTTATTACCCTCTTCAAATACACACACACATACATGTACACACATGCAGATGCGCACACACGCGTGAGCTTGCACACATACATCTTTTTTATGTGCATTGGTGTTTTGCCTGCATTTATGTCTGTGTGAGGGTGTCAAATCACTTGGAGCTAGAATATAGATAGTTGCGAGGTGCCATGTAGGTGCTGGGAATTGAACTTAGGTTCTCTGGAAGAGCAGCCAGTTATCCACTAAGCCAACTCTCTAGCCCCCACACATATTTTTCTTAAAAGAGAAGGCATAAAGAAATTATAATGTATTATTTAAAAAGCATGAAGAATTGTCTACCCTATATGAAACAAAAGATATGCAAACAGAAACAGCCATGAGGTTGCTCTTCTACTTACCAAGTGAGCTTCTTTGTTGATGGGTATTCAATGCTCTAAAGTTTCCTGGAGGCTGCTGCCCTCAGAGACCTAAGATGCTGGCCTGTTTGAGTCTATACAGCCATTTGGCATTGTGCAGTATGAGCCACGGACTGCCCATACCCACCATCATATTCTTCCTTCCTGGGAATGTATGCTAAGGATGGAATTGAAAAAGAAGTGTGTGGAAAGATATTGTCCTTGACACTGTCCCAAGGACAGCCAGATGTTGGTGGCCCGCAGAGTACTTTCTGCCTAGCAACTCTTATTGAATCACTCCACATGTTCTGAAGCTGTCAACAGTCACCCCGTCACGTTCATAGCTCTGTCCCATGCTCAAACTTTCGCCTGTGTCTATAGCTGCTGCTTAACTTTGCTTGGCTCTACAAGAGTAAACTCTCTTTTTCTCCTCCCCTTTACTGTTCCTCATCTAAACACATGGCGCGCCCACTGCTGTGGTGTGTTCAAAATGGATCCCCAGAGCAAGGCAATACTTGGAGGTGTCGCCTTGGGGACTTTACTCTTGTGGATGGGATTAGGTGCCTTTTGAGTTTGATGTCCTTCTACCTTCTGCTAATTGAGGGCATGGCACTCTTCTCCTCAAAGGACACTGTGTTCAAGGTGCAATCCTGGAAGCAGAGACTGGACCATCAGCAGACAGACAGCTCACTGGTATCTTCATCTCGGACTTCATCTTAGCAGAGCTGTTAAAAACACAGTTCTGCTCTTTCGAAATCACTCAATCTCCAGCATTCTTCCACAGTAGTACACATGGAACAAGCCGACTGCCTTTCTAGGCACTCAGGCCAAACCTTCAGGTATCATTGTTGGTCCCTTCCCATCCTCAACTCCCCACCCACCTTCAACTCTTTCTAAAAACATCTATTTTTATCTCCAGCACTGAAAACTGGCTGCCACTATAGTCTACGTCATCAGCCCCACTCCCTAAGTGCTCCCTGTAGTCCTCCTGCTCCACCATAGTCTAAGCCATCAGTCACACTCCCCGAGTGCTCCCTGTAGTCCTCCCGAAAGGTTTCTTTCATCCCTGTCTTGCTGACTTTCCAGTCTTTTTCTACCCTGCAGAATCCTTATTCCCAAAACCCAAATCCAACCTTCAGCAGCTTTCCATTCCCTACAGGATCTGTTCTGATCAACATTCCAGAAAAAGGCTCAGGACCCTCAGGCCCCACCCTTGCAGCTGCCTCACCCCCTGTCACCACAGCCCTTTCTATCTTCAGGTGTACCATGCGCTTTCTTCTTTCCTGTCCTTGCTATCCCAGCTGGAACACTGGATGAATGGCTGAGGATGTTGAGAGCTGTTTCTACTCTGTGGATATATTTTATCCAGAAATGAAGAGGTAAATGAAGCCTGAGATTGTGGTTTATCCCTGTCATCCAAGTGTCTGACTGGAGGCTGAGATGGAAGCAAGACTTGACTCCTTAATAAGACTTCATCAAAACACCAGAGGAGGAATAGAAAAGGGATGGAAGGAGGGAGAGGAAGGGAGGAAGGGCAGATGGAAGAAAGGAAATGCTTCGATGGTACTTTTGGAAATGCCCAACATTGAAATCTTGCCATTTAGTTGGTGCCAGACTACCGGGACTAGACCTTTCCACCACTCCCTGAGAACTTCCTCCCCTCTTCTGTCACCTCCTGCTCACTTTGTGTCGCCAACTGTACTATTTCCAACAACCCGGGGCAAACACAGCCACTTTACCTCCTGGAGATACAAGAATAAAGAGATCGATGGCCGAGGCAAGGAAAGCTGGGCAGACAATTCATGAAGAGCGGCGTGACGGCCAGGTTTCCATAAAGTCCCCAAAGAAGACATCGGCAGAGTAAGTCTTTATGCTGGGGTAGTCACAAGACCATGGACACTCGCAAAGAATGGGGAATCACTAAATAGAGGACTAGACAAACTCTGAGGTCAGCATGGAACCAGCCCTTGCTTTACTTCCGGAGAGCTATGTATTCTCTTCTCACAATAAGTCACCAGGTCAGGCGTATGCTAATTTCTCAACTAACACCATCTACTCATGTTATTAACACTTGGCATGGGTGAGCACAGGAAACAATGCAGGTGTATGCAGAACTATGGCTTGAGAACAGAAATGGCTTCACAAGAGAAGGCTGCAGGTGACCTTGGGACCTGCAAGGTTCCTGTCCTTATCCCTTCAGCTCAGAGCAGCCACGGTGGCATCATCTGATGTTTGTTAGAAATGCAGGCACTGGGTGTCCCAGACCTAGTGAGAACCTGTATCACAACCATCTGGTGATTCGGCTGCATATTAAAAGTTCAGAGTTGTACTTCTCTGAGTCCCCACAGTGTGCTTGAGAGAACCAGTTCCAGCCAGGAAGAACAACCAGTCGCAGCCAGTTGGAATTTGGAGGAAGGATTGCTCTAGTGTATTCAAGGAGACTCAGAGCCAGGACTAGTCAGTGGTCTACAGAACCCAAGAAACTGCTTTCTTAGGTCAGAAAGGGGAAATTTACAGGATTCATCAGACAAGGAGTTTCGGACAGAAGTCAAATCAAACTTTCTAGTATCTAGTGGGTTCATGTGACCTTAAGGGTCAGAGCTTAGGGTGGGTCTGCAGAGTGAGAGAGTTAAGAACATCCATCACCAAAAAAAGAAAAAAATCTAGAAAGCTCTGATTAACTGTTTTGGGTTTTTTGTTTGTTTGGTTTTTTTTTGTTTTGTTTTTTGGATTTTTTGTTTTGTTTTGTTGGTTTTTTTCGAGACAGGATTTCTCTGTGTTACTTTGGAGCCTGTCCTGGAACTAGATCTTGTAGACCAGACTGGCCTCGAACTCCACAGAGATCCTCCTGCCTCTGCCTCCCGAGTACTGGAATTAAAAGCCAGCCACGACCGCCTGGCTGATTAACTGCTATATATTGGCACTTTAAGCTGTTATTCAGGTCTACTGTTTTGGTTCCTGCCAACTCAAATTCCTATCAATAAATACGAAGGTGGAAGCGGTATGTTTTTAAGCAATATCCAAAACAGTCATTTCTCGGAAACAGAAACGTTATTGCTTACTGGAAGAGTACACACTAAATGCTGCCATGTGGTTCTTGCTGTCCCCACTTTACAGACGTGGAAACTGAGTCTTAGGATCTTTAATTGTTTCAATTCACACAGAAGCCAAGCTGCAAGGCAGTAGCCGAAAGAGGGAAGAGTCTGACTACAGTTCATGTCTTCTCTTCTGAGTCCCCCCTTTCTGCTTAGACAACAAACGCCATATTATCAGGCCCTGCAGAGGCCTGTGGTAAATACTCTGCCAGGATCACTGACGCAGGACCTGACCCAAATGTATCATCCTAATTCTCCCAGTCTCCTCTGCCACAGATTCACGCTTTCCCTGATTCAGATTTACAGGAGAAAAGAGAGCCATGCCCAGCGGTACCTGTGTCCTTTGTCAACGGCTGCATCCAGATATCTCTGCGAACTGGGCTAGGCCTTCAGCTTAGAAAAACTTCCCAGCCATAAACAGGATCAATGGCCTGCAAGTCTCTTTCCTGAAGGAGCAGCACAGCCTGCTGAGGCTGCCTTTGTTTACCGTTCGTCTCTAAGCACTGGCTGCCCAGTGAACAAGTCAAGGCCCGCCACTTTCCCGCCTCTCTTCTCTCTGCCCAGTAACAGGCAGAGTCGCCCAGCGGCCTTCTCAAGGCCAGTGGGCCCAAGGGCAGTAAGAGCTCAACCGGATTAGGTGCCACTGAAGGACTGAAGGCTGCAGGGGCCGGCTCAGGGAGGCTTTTACAGTGACGTCTCTTTATCACCTGGTCCAATAAAATAAAGATCCCTGCAATGAGGAAGGTGGCAGGGGAGCCACATCTCAAGAGTCACAGCTTGGTTTCATCAGTTCCTCAGTCCTCCCTGCCCATAAATGGTCAGACTTCTGACCTGCCCCCCAGGTAACCCATAAGCATAGACAATCCTACCTAGGCCCAAGGTCTTGGAGCTGCTGTTGGAAAGACCAGAGGAACCCTCCAGCCTCTGTTCCTTGAATTCAGGAAGGATAAAGTTGGGACAAGAAAAGCAAGAGATGGATCATAACTCTTTAGAGGTAGCTGGGAGAGAACAAATCTTTTAAGCCCTTTCGGAATTAGCAGTGTCAAACTGAGAAATATTTTTGAAAGAAAGAATACAAGGCTTTTGCTGATGGAAAGAATCTCATGCATGTTTGATCCAGCTGGTGGGACCAGTGAATGAGTGTCTTCTCATCTCTTTAAGGAGTGCAAAGTGAGGGCACACCACCTTTGCAAACCCAGCCACTCAGAAGCACACTGCCGAAAGCCCATGTAAGCATCTGAAAACGGATACGCCCTGCAGTCTAGCTGTTTTATTTCATTTTTTAATAACATGTAAAGTTACTGTAGTATGTCTTTGTAACGCCAAAACCCTAAAAACCGTCAAGCGCCTGTCAGCAGTGGGTCTGCAAACAGAGTGTGGTTCACACACAGAAGAAAAGGAAATGCTTGGCTGTGCAGAGGAGAGAATCAGATCTGGGTCTCAGGCGACGCAACAGCTGCTGAGAAAGTATTTATAAAAATAAAAAGTGTCGCACAGGCCAATACGATTAATTTCCTTGCAAATAGATAAATATAAAAATCAGGCATCCAGGGGCTAGAGATGGCTCAGTGACTAGCCCTAACCAGGTTTCACTTCCAGCATCCACGTGGCAGCTCACACCATATGTACCTCCAGATCCAGGGGGACACAAGGCCTTCCTCTGGCCTCTGAGGGCACCGCATATACCACATGATGCACAGATATGCATGCAAGCAAAAACACCCACACATAAACTTTTATAAATGAAAAAAATAAAAATAAGCATAGGAATACATATTCTTTATTTAGACAAGTCACAGAAATGTAAAAGCGTTTGCTCTGGGAAGAAAAAAAATATTACCTATTCTTTCCTCCCTTGTATTTTTATATTAAATTATTTAAAAACAAAAAAATGCACACTGTTCTATAAAAATTTATCTTTTTCCACTTACAGTTACTTTTACTGACACTCCCAATTAGTTAGAAAATGAATTTTATGATATGTGTGACCATCTGTTTGGTTTCTCCAAAATTTCTCCATGCATCAGATTCAACCAGGGGCTTGATAAAATGCAGATTTGCAGGCACTGCCTGGTGCCTTTTGAGCCTTTGTCTCTGAGGCACAGCTAAGAATAGGTGGGCCTTCAGCAAGTCCCTGTGTAACCCGAACTTAGCAATACATTCATTCCAGCAACACGCAATTGGAAACAGTCCCGGAAGGAGGAAGTGAATTTCTCCAGTCACGTGGTTGTTTGTGATAGAACACAGAGCAGGTGGTGCTGGTCTGCCTAAAGTCACTGCCACCTCCATCTTCTCTCTTAGAAATGCTTGCACTAGCAAGAGAGCTCCTACTGATAGTTCTATAGGTCAGACTAAAACACGGGGGAAAGCTCTTGCTTCAGTATTGAAATATTTGAATTTATATATTTTTGAATTTTTCAACTGCTTCGCTCTCAAGACCTGCTTATTCATAACTATGCACTGTCCTTGAAAGTATGGCTTCCTATAAAGAGAGACCCAACACTGTAACCAACCACCAGTTAGCAAGGTTCTCTGAGCATATGCACGTACATATACACATAGACTATAATTGTTTTCAGTAGATACAGAGTTACTCCATGCAGTTATAAAGGCTAATGTTGAGATGTGTTTCTTGGATGCAGCAGAAGGATGGATTCCATTTTCACATTCATTATGTTAGTCTGTCTGTCTTTTTTTTTTTTTTTGAGATTGAGCCCATTGATGTTGCGAGACATCAATGACAGATGATTGTTAATTCCTGTTATTTTATTATTATTGTTGGTGGTGACAGTTATGGTGTTTGTGTGTGTGTGTGTGTGTGTCTGTGTGTGTGTTTTCCTTCTGTTGATTTTGCTGGTATAAGATTATTTATTCCCAGTGTTTTTATGGGTATAGTTAACTTGTTTATGTTGGAGTTTTCTGCCTAGCACCTTCTGTAAGTTTAGATTTGTAGAGAGATGATGTTTAAATTTGGGTTAATCGTGGAATATCTTATTTTTTCCACCTATAGTAATTGAAAGATTTGCAGGTATGTTAGTCTGGCTTGGCATCTATGGTCTCTTAGAGTCTAAAGCACATCTATCCCTTCTGAAGTAAGGTATAATTCTAACAGGTCTATCTTTATATGTTCTTGGTCTTTTTTTCCTTTGCAGATTTTAATATTTTTTATTCTATATGTGTAGTGTTTGATTATTATATGGCAGTGGCACTTAGTTTTCTGGTTCAATCTGTCTGATGTTCTGTATGCTTCATGTACCTGTAAAGCAACTCTTTTTTTAATGTCTGCATGTGTGCCTGCATACCAGAAGAAGGCATCAGATCCCATTATAGACAGTTGTGAGTCACCATGTGGTTGTTGGGGATTGAACTCAGGACCTATCTAGAAGAGCAGTCAGAACTCTTAACTCCTGAGCCATCTCTCCAGCCCAGGCATCTCCTTTAGGTTAGGAAAATTTTCTTGTATGATTTTGTTTAAAGTATTTCCTAGGCCTTTGGGCTTCTTCTTGTCTCATTCCTCTATCCTTGTAGTCTTAAGTTTGGTCTTCTCATGGCATCCCAGAGTCTTTGCACATCTTGTGTGCAGAGTTTTTTAGATATAACTTTTTCTTTGATAGATGTATCCGTTTGTTCTATCATATCGTCCATACCTGAGATGCTTTCTTCTATCTCTTTTATTATGTTGGTGAAGCTTGCCTCTGAGGTTTCTATTCAAATTCCTAAATTTTTCATTTCCAGAATTCCCTTAGTTTGGGTATTCTTTATTGATTCTATTTTCATTTTCTGATCTTGATGGTTTTATTCATTTCCTTCCATTGTTTGTGTTTTCCTGGATTTCTTTATGGGATTTATTAATCTTCTCTTTAAGGACCTCTATCGTCTTCATACAGTCAGTTTTAAGGTCTCCTCTTCCTTTTTTCTGTTTGTTTTTGTTTTGATTTTTGTTTTTTAAGACAGGGCTTCCCTTTATATCCCTGGTTGTCCTTGAACTCTGTAGACCAGGCTGGCTTCAAATTCAGAGACCTACCTGCCTCTGCCTTTTGAGTTCTGGGATTAAAAGTATGTACTACTACCACCACCACCAGACTTTAAGGCCTTTTTCTTGTACTGCATCTATGTTGGACTACTCAGGGCCTGCTGCGGTAGGAGAGCTGGTCTCTAGTGGTTACCTATTATCCTGGCTGGGTTTTTTTTTAATTGCATTTTTAGGCATCTGTGATTGGGACAATTATAGGTCTAGGTGCTGATTTCTAAAATTGTCTTTGTTAGGTAGGCATTTTTTCCCTTGGTTTCTGTTTCCTGTCTGGATTTTCAGAGTGTGGTTGCTGATAAGACATAGGCATGGCTATTGGGGGTTCCAGGTAAAATGTGTTTCTCCCTATTGGGAGCTGACACTTACGAATGGGGTTAGGCTAAGTGTCTGAAGAAGGCCACAGGATGGAGGAAAGCAGTTTTCAGGTGAAGCTGGGGATGTGGATCTAGAGGAACAGAAATAAGGGGAAGAACTACAGACCGCCTACTTGTTTCCTTGGCAGGAGTGGTCTGTGGGTCAGCAGGGAATGCCTGCTGGAGTTGGGGATAAAGCAACTAGAGGGGTAATGTAGGCAGAGGAGGAAGGGAGGCCACAGCAGGCAGTCTATTGCAGAGCTGAGGATGAGATTGGGTGTGGAGGGGAGGAGGGTGATGGTCTTCAGCCTCCCTGTTTCCCTGGTGTTCCTTTTTGGCTGGATTGATCCCAGGAGTGCCTGCTGGTGTTGGAGGCTGGGAAGTTGGGAGGAGATGGGGGGAAGGAAGGTTGGAGGAGAATGTCTTTGTGATCTGTCGGGGATGGGGTCAGAGAGGAAGGAGAAACCTCAGCAGGTTTCCTGCTACAGACCTGGGGATGCGACTGGGGGACTGGATCTGAAGAAGCAGAAGGAGGGGTGTGGATCTGTAGTCAGCAAACTTATTGCTCTGGCAAGAATAGCCCTTGGAGTTGTCAGTGGGGCCCTACTGGGGCTGGGGGTTGGGACAAAGCAAAGAGTTGGGGGACAGAGATTAGAAGGGGAAAATCTGTGGGATCTGCAGGAGAAGGAAACAGAGGAGCAGGGAAGGCTGCCCAAGGTGTTTTGCCACAGAGCTGTGGATGAGGATGGGGCTTGGGTTTAGGGGAACAGAGGGAAGCCTACCTAGTTTTCTGGGCAGGCATGGCTGCCATTCTCAGTCTGGATTTTGCCCCAATCTCTTTGCTCTCTACCTTTGTTCTCCTTGCCAGTCTTGTCTTCAGTGTCCTCATTACCTTAGTTACCGTAGGGACTTCCAACTGCTTTAATTTCCATCTTCCTATCCGACACACCTAAGAAAGTCTTAGCTCCTGGAACCCTCGCTGGAAGAGCTGTCTCTGTTTCTCTACATGGGCTGACAGGACTGCAGAGAAATATTCGCAGCTCTGTCACTATGAATTCCCGGCTCTCAGTCTTG